ATCTTCAGGGCCATATAAGTGAATGATAGGCCAGGGTCATTCATAAATTGCAAGTGCCTCTGATGGGAGCTAGATTCTAAATGTCCTGGAGAGTGGCCAAGACATTGACAACTAAAGAAAAGAAACCCCAAGGCAACTACTTGCCTTTAAGAAAATTTGCTCTCCAAGCTCAAGAAACTATCCTTATTTTGGTCCCTGGACTGTCCCACTAAGAAAGATTTGTAAAACCTCTTTGACAGATTTAGGATTCTCAAAAATATGGGAGGCATTGGTTGTAATTCTAGATTCTCTATGCTCTTTGTGCTTGAGAGTCTAAGACATCTCTTTTTGTGTTGTTCTCTACAGAAAAGTGGATACCTATCCCAGAAGGGGGACTAGAGCTTTCTAATGATCTCACCGAGCTACTTCCCTAAATCAACATAATGGTAGCTAACATTTAATATCCTACTTAGGATATACCAGGCACTATTCTAAACGTTGTTGTGTGTATCATCCCTTTTATTTATTATTTATTATTTTTTTTTGAGATGAGTCTTGCTCTTTTGCCTGGTTGGAGTCCAGTGGCACTATCTTGGCTCACTGCAACCTATGTCTCCTGGATTCAAGTGATTCCCCTGCCTCAGCCTCCTGAGTAGCTGGGACTACAGGCACATGCCACCATGCCTGGCTAATTTTTTGTGTTTTAGTAAAGACGGGCTTTCACCATGGCCAGGCTGGTCTCGATCTCTTGACCTCATGATCCGCTTGCCTCGGCCTCCCAAAGTGCTGGGATTACAGACATGAGCCACCGCACCTGGCCTGTATCATCCCTTTTAAACTTTACAATAGGCCTGTGAGGTAGGCACTGTTATTCCTACCTTCACTGGGGGATGTTGTCTAGTCACCCAGCTTGATAAGGGGTTTGGAAAGTATATTAGCAGCCTGTAACAACAAAATTAATATTCACTCAAAGAATTTTTTTCCCTTTACATGACTAAGGGTACACTAATTGTATTGTGGGGAAGGTATTTAAATAACTTTCTGTGGTTGATAGATTCTATGTAGGAAAATTTGGTTGACACCTCGGAACACCTACATTGCACAAAGGGAAGTGTGCCAATAAACTGAAATTCAGTTTTATTAGATGTTGTTCAACTTAAATTCTTCACCCAGCTCACCTTCATAAGGTGCACTCATAAACACGTATGTCATAAAGAGAAATGTGCATGATCCAATTTTCTTATGGTTTATTGAATCGTGGTCTCCTGCCTGATAAAACTCTTTTTCAGTAGAGATATTTGTTCCATCCCCAGGTGAGAATGATTGTTAGCAGAATTCTCCAGCAATATTTATCAGGCAAATTAGAGGTAGGTAGATGGGCTGAGAGGCCAAAGAAGACCCAGGGAGGATGCAGTATTTTTTAAGAGTAGAGCACTGACTTGGGCACACGAGATCTGGATTTTTAGGAGCAGCTCTGCCAGCCATCAGCTGTATCATCTTGGGCAAGCCACTTAATCTCTCTGTACCTCAGATTCCTCATTTTTATAACAACAGGGGTTGGACTAGAGGCTCTGTAACATTCCTTTCAGCTTCAGGATTCCTAAGCTGTGCCTCAGTCAGAATCCTATCAAAGACCTATAAAGTGCTTGGGTTGGTTCCTTTGAAGATAAGAGCAAATGCTGCAGCCATCGGCAGTGTCAGACCTTCTAGATGGGGTTGTAAGAGGGATCTTTGTGTACAAAGTTTCTATCCCTCAGAAGCACTTATGAGTTAGTTGATTTATACTGCTTGGT